GGCACTGCTCCTGGGAGTAGAGATACAGCCATGAGTATGGTAGATCAAGTCCTGGCTTTCCTGGAGAAGCTGTGATAGAAGGGAGAGAATGAGCATAAATCACAAATTCTTTTCTGAGCCTCTCCTCATTCTGCCCTCACACCCTTAGCTGAATGAGTGAATTTAGTCCAGACATTTTAAGCATCGCTTATGTTTGTCAGTTTCTAAGCCCATATTATCTCTAGCTTAGTCTTTCCACCAAACTCCAAACTTGAACATCCAACCATTTACTTGACATCTTCACTTGACTATCTTATAGGGATGTTGAACTGAGTGAATGAGAACAGCTTTTTCTTTTTGGTGGTACTGGGGATTGAACCCAAGCTCGTCCCTTTTTAGTTTCTAATTTGAGGCAAAGTCTTGCCAAGTAACCCAAAATGGGATCGAACTTGTGATCTTGCTGCTTCTGCCTTGCAGAGTGCTCCGAGTAGAGGTGCGTGCCCCCATGCCTCACTAGTAGAGAATTCTTGAGCTCTCCACCCTGCATACTTTACTTAGCCAGAACTTGCATTTAAAAACAGGCAACAAATTCACATGTGATAATCATGTTCCTGAACTCCCAAATTAGGTAGAAAGAACTCTGATCATGACTCGGCTCAAGTCTGCATCTGGCACATATGAGACCTCAGGCCTCTGGGTCAGGGCTTCTTAACCCTTTAAAGTCCTCACTTTGCTGCTAAGCATACAGGTTATGTGCTTTGTCAATCTCAAGTTTGAGATATGGCTCTCCAGGGACAAATAGTCTATCCTCTGATGATCCCCACCAGCCCAGATGCTTGGTTTCTATACTTTGCATGTTAAAAAGATTAGGGTTTCATTCTTTTTTTAAAAATTTTTTTTGTCTTTTTTTCATTTTTATCGGTACCGGGGACCGAACTTATGCCACTGAGCTAAATCCCCAGCCCCCTAGGGTTTCATTCTAAACATGAAATTATTTAAAACTGAGCATACTTATTGAAACTAATACCTTCTCCCATTCCAAAAGGGCTACCTTCACTTTGGAAGATTGCTGTCCCAGAGCCAATTCTGTTTATTTCTTTATTATTTATTTCCCTCCTCTATTTATCTACCCAGACATCTAGCTTCAATTGAAATTGTAGTATGTGCTAAGAAATACTAGAAAATGTGATCTGGGTGATTGAGGGGCTGAAACTTCATCCAACCCATTTCCAAAAACATGGTAACATGCTTTCATTTCCTCAATTAATTGTTCAGGGTCCCCCTTCTCTAATTACCAGGAATTTCAGCATCTCTTCTCTGAGGTCCCTGCATCCTGACTGTCTAAGAATCCTTGAGTGTTTTCTTAGTTCAGAGGGAGCCATAAAGGCAAACAAATCTGATGACTATACCAGTGCTATTGTTTCTTGCTAGCAAGTGGTGTCACTGTTGGAGACAGGTCCTACACAGTTCAATGGAAATATCACCTACTGAGTGGAGTTGTGCAATTTAAATAAACAATTACATTTAAAGATAGATAGACAGATAGATAGATAACACAGTACTAAGTAGTGGCTTGAGATTTAGCTATTGTTTTACCAGGGCTCAGTTTTATATCTTACACAGTGTACAGAGAACAGTATCCCTGGAAAATTCTGGCTTTGGCAAATGGTGAGGAATAGTTGGTGGCCTTTGGTCCCCTGCAGGCCGCTAGACAGCGTACCCTCAGGTGGCATCAGTCCTTGTCCATCCTACTCTCAACTGATCTGAGCTTAGTCTGCCTCTTTATGTGGAAGAGGTAGAACCTGAAGAGCATAGAATTTCTTACAATGAAATGATTTGATCTGGCCTCCTAAAAGGAGGAGTTTTTAAAAATAGTAATCTAGAGCTGTTTGGACTGAAAGAAAACATTGCTTTGGGTCCCAGGGCTGCTAGCCAGGCCCTTCCTAGGTCTTGCTGAATACAGACCTTAACTCTCAACTCAAAGGTTATTCTGCCTTGCTTGGAAAACAGTGTTCTGGAAAGTAAAGCTGTGGCTTATTTCTTTTTGCATTCTCCCCTTTCTAAACATACTTGCTTGTAGATAACAGGAAATAACCCTTTTCCACATCAGCTGCTGTAAAAGATACTTCCTATGCACACACAAGCACATATATGCACTCAGGAACTCTGTGTGCCTTTCATCTCTTCCATTCTCCCCTTTTCCTGCTTTGAGGCTACAAAAATTAAGACCAAAATACACAGCACACATATACCTTTTCTTTACTTTTGAGTAACTGCTGTTGTTTTACAAATTCCTCTATTTTGCTTTAATAATCAGATTTTATACCTTCTTGAATATACCTTTCTTGGAAAATGGCAATACTTCATCTCTTCAATAAACTTTGTGACTAACACATAAAAGGTCCCCCAATAGTAATTCATTTTAGATCATATGAAAAAGATTCACTGTCTATATACAAAAAAGATAATGAATCATTCATATAAGCAAGTCTTATTTGCTAGCCAATGTACCTATTTGGGTTGTGTCCTAAAGTCCATTCCTCAGGCAGTTTGCTTGTTTCTATAGGGAACTACATTTTATTCGGTTATATCAAAATGTTCAGGAGTATATACATTATATAATAATGAGTAATGACAGCAATAATAGCTACAATATATTGAGTACCAAGTATGTTATACGTATCTGTTTTTCACAACAATTCTGCAAGATAATTGCTCATTTTACAAATGATGCTAAGGTTCATAGAAGTTAAGCAACTTGCTTTTAAGAACACACAAAATCAAATACATTTCTCATCCCATCTCTAGTTCCTGCTAAAGTGATGACAGACCAGTCATAACTTTCCTTGCCATAGCTGTTGGGCCTGGGGGTAGGGCGCTTGACCTGAGTCCAGCCAATAGTGGTTTGTGGCCTGATGTGAAAAGATAAGTCTGGCCAGTCAGATTCTGCATTAAGATGTTTTGCAGTGCTAAAGTCAAGCCCAGGGCCTCATGCGTGCTAGCCTGCCTTAGAAATGTCAATCCAGAAACATGGACAAGCAGAAAGTTGGTAGGGGCAGGAGTGTGAGAGGCTGAGAAGGCCATGATGAACCATATTCAAGCTGAAGCTGTGGGGAGTGGAAGACAGCAGAAATATTAACGTGGAAGGATGTCAGGTACATGGGAGTGGCAGAAAGAATCCTCGGGAACAGCCAGGTTGAGGCAGAATGCTTGATACTCGGGGACCACATTCTGCTTCTTTCTTCCTTTTCTTCAGTTTTATTGCCAGAGTAGCCCTAAAATAAATCCTTCATCCCTTGAACTAACTTTGTGTTGGTTCCTATGAACTGGAAGAACCAAATTAAAATACACAGCCAGGAAGTGCTGTGGAGGGGATCTGAACCCTGGTTTGAGAGCAGTTTCTACTTTTTTTTTTTTTTTTTTTTTGTCTTTTTCCTTTTTATCGGTACCGGGGATCGAACTCACGACTGCCTGCTTGCAAGGCAGGCGCTTATGCCGCTGAGCTAAATCCCTGGCCCCGAGGGCAGTTTCTACTCTTGTCACTGTATTCCTTCGCCACATTATAAATACTACCGTGGTCCCCCAGAGTTTACAAGGTCACTTTATTTTATCAGAAAAAGAAGGTTTCCAAAATCCTTGGCCCAAGACTTTGTTTGCTTCCAGAGCCCTGAAGAAGAGGGAGGTTAGGGACATCTTAGGCAACTGGCAAATCTCCAAATGACTGGGCAGGACTTGTGCTTCCAGCAGGAAGTCCTATGCTGAGGAGAGAGGACAGGTGCTGGGACACAGATGGGCAGAGAGCAAGCACTCTTCAGGGACAGGGACTGGTCTTATCTCCACTTCTAGGCTCAGCTTCTGAGGAAGTACCTGATAGGTATTCGGATGAGTGACTGAATAAATGAATGGCAGAAGTGGGTCACAGCCCCCGCTCAAATGGCTTGCTCCCTCCTTAGTCAAATCTTCCCACGTTAAAGAATACCTGTCTCCATCTCTATGAAACAATTCATGCAAGCACTCTGAGTAACATTTACAGCGACTAGTGAACTTTAGCTTTAAAAATACCAAACACTGTAATGGTGACTGTGGTGATGACAGGGCTCAAAGACTTATAAATGGACAGCTCTGGATTGCATTTGCACCCTGTTTACAAAAACACCACTAGCTTTGTCTTTCTCTGTCTGCAGAGAGTGAGGTTTTCATTTTAAGAGGCTGACTAAAAAATGCAGGGCCACTTCCTGGGCAGGCTTCCAAGTGACTATATCTTTCTCACAGCATTCCCCAGAGCCCCAGCCCAAGCTGCCTGGGGCAGGGCCTGCAGCCATTGGTGGTTGGTGAAGCTACCACAGTAACAGTTATCTGAGGCCCGCCAGAATTGCTGTGCTTTTAGGCCCTCACAGGGTCCAGATAACGGCCTTGCCCCCTGCACTGAAGAGATGTCAGAGTTTGTGATTGGCCAGGCTGGTGTGTGTGAAACGCAGGAGACGTCGGGCCACGCTTCCAAGTATGATGTTCCTTTCAGCCCAGTACCCCCGGCATGGGTGAGTCTAAATGTTTGAAGACTGCCCTTGTTGGCAGGGAAATGTTCAAAGCTGGGCATTCTGACTTTCCAAGGGCATGACTTAGCATATTTCTTAATACTACTGAGCCTCAGTTGCCTTCTCTGTGAAACAGGGATAGGATTATCTTGTACTCTAGCAAGATAGAAGCATGTACCCATCAGAGAGTGCTGCGAAACCTAAAAGCAGTAACAAACCCAGAGCACCTCTCTGGTACCTGATATATGGCAGACACTGCAAAGCCCTTATTATTTCTGGAGCACCAATAAAAATGGGGAATGTGGAGGCTCAGTGACTGCCCAGACTTGATTTCTAGCAGTATAATCTTTCTCTGAGAGACTCAGCAGACGTTTTACTTCTTAATCCTATCTGCATAGACAACAGAAATCAAAATTCAGGGGAAGACAGTGCTGGAAAATGGGCAAATGCATTAAATTATACTCCCTTTCTCTTTTTCCCTTCTAGACCCTGACTGCACCTGCCCCATTTGCAGATGAAACCAGCTGCCAGTGCCAAGCGCCCCATGAAAAACTGACCATTGCGCAAGCTCGCTTAGGAACACCAGGTGAGGCTTATTCCTGCTCAGTAAGCGGGCCTTGTCTCCCTACTCCAAGTTTCAGGAAGTTGTGTCATTATTTGAGCAGCACTTGCTTTCTTTCTTTCTTTCTTTTTTTTTTTTTTTTTTTGTCTTTTTCGCTTTTATCGCTACCAGGGATCGAACACACGACTGCCTGCTTGCAAGGCAGGTGCTTGCAAGGCCGCTGAGCTAAATCCCCAGCCCCAGCACTTGCTTTCAATCACAGTTGAATGTAGCGGCATCAAATATTAATGGTGATAAACTAGATTAATAAAAGTAGAAATAGTCAAGTAAAAGATGCAGCAGAGTACCCAAGTTTGGGCCTTACCTTGGCCATTTATTACTTCTACCGTTTTGAACAAGTCATAAAAGAGAGCTAAGTCTGTTTCCTCATGCACAAAACAGAGACAACAATATCTGCTTCACAAGCATTTTGTAGGGGGTGCGTGGGTGGGTGGGTGGATACTGGGCATTGAATCCAGAGATTTTTTAGAGACAGGGTCTCACTATATTGCCCAGGCTGGAGTGCAGTGGCTACTCACAGGCGTGATCCCACTACTGATCAGCACGGGAGTTTTGACCTGCTCCGTTTCCAACCTGGGCTGGTTCACCCCTCCTTAGGCAACGTGGTGGTCCCCCACTCCTGGGAGGTCACCATATTGATGCCGAACTTAGTGCGGACACCCAATCGGCATATTGCACTGCAGCCCAGAACTCCTGGACTCAAGCGATCCTCCCACCTCAGCCTCCCGAGTAGCTGGGACTACAGGTGCGCACCACCATGCCCGGCAAATCCAGGGATTTTCATATGCCAGGCAAGTGCTCTACCACTGAGCTAAATCCCCAGCCCCAGTCTCCTTTTATTTTTTAATTTTTTGGAGACAAGATCTTGCTAAGCCACTAAGTTGCTGAGGCTGGCCTCGAACTTGAGATCCTCTTGCCCCAGCCTTCTGAGTAGCTGGGACTACAAGTGTGCACCACTGCCCTGGCTGCAGAAGGTTTTTGCGATAGCTAAATTTATTGAAAGCACAAAAGTACTTTTCATGTGTACATAGCTTTTAGGATTTTTTTTCTTTTTTGGTTCCAGGAATTGAACTCACGATCTCATGCTTGCCAGGCAGGTACTTTTTAAATTATGAAGGCCTTTATGAACCTAAGCTACTATAATTACTAATTTTTTTTTACTGATACCAGGGATCGAACTCATGACCCCATGCTTACAAGGCAGACACTTATGCCATTGAGCTAAATCCCCAGCCCCTATAATTACTATTCTTTAAAGTCTGTCTTTTTTGAAAAGTTTCAAATATGTTTTTAAAGAAAGACCGAAAAAAAAAATAAAGACTGGACTTTCCTATAGAAGTTTGTTCATTGCATTTGTTCTTAGCATATACCAGAGAATGGATAGTGGAGATTTAAAAAGGACTATAATGTACCATTTCCATCTCCCAAGGGCTTTCGTGATAACTAGAGACAAGACAATTAGATATGAAATAAAAGTCACAAGTAGCATGTATGCATATCCTACAACACAGATGACAGCTGACAATTTCGAGAAGGGTAGATTCATTTGGCCTGAGGTGGTCAGGGAAGATTTCAGAGAGGGAACAGAACAGAACTGATACTCTGGGGAGAAGATTTAAACTGTGTAGGCAGAAAAATGGAAAAGTATTTCAGGAGGGTGCCACAGAAATAGTGAAGGCACAGAGATGAGAGAGTGGGAGTAAATGAGTGTCATTGCATTTGACTGGGAGGAAACGAAAAACAAGGCTAATTGAGCAGGTAAGCGTTGAGTCATTTTTGATGATACAGCTATGTGGTTTCCAACCCCCATTGCAAAAAACAACCCAAACTTAAAAGGATCCATGGGGGGAAAGGACAATTTGCTTAATAATAATAATGGGTAAGTATTAAGTATTTACTATGTACTAAGGTCTTTATATATATTGTGCCATTTCACTGTCACAACTCAATATGGTTTGTATTTCTAGTATTTCATAGATAAGGAAATGAAGGCTCAGAGAACTTTGAACCCCTACAAGGTCATTCAGCTAGTAAGTGGCAGTGGTTCCCATGTTTCAGCATGCACCAGAATCACCTGCAGGACTTGTTAAGGCACAGATGACTGATTTTATTCAAGTAGGTAAAGCTCAAGAAGGTGTATTGCTAACAAGTTTCCAGGCAAAAGTAGAGCATGGTGGTACATACCTCTAATCTCAGTTTCTTGGGAGGTAGGAGGATTGCAAATTCATGGCCAGCCTGAGCAATTTAGTGAGTCCCCAAAATAAAAAAATGGAAAGAGGTTGATTATGTGGTATAGCAATTACTTAACATGCACAAGCCCCTGGGCTTAATCTTCAGTACCACAACAAACACACAAACAGACAACCCACTCCCAAATTCATCAGGCGATTTGCTGTCTAAGGACCACACCTAGAGAATCACTGTTTAAAGCTGGGATTTGAACTCAAACCTGTTTGTGCAGAGTTTGACCTCTTGTCTTTGACACTCAGCTTCTTTTTAAGAAGAGATTTCAAGCTGGGCATAGCGCTGCACACCTGTAATCCCAGCACTTGGGAGGCTGAGGTAGAACAATTGCGCATTAAGTCAAGCCCAGCCAAGGCAACTTTGTGTCTCAGTGAAACCCTGTCAGGAAAGCAGAACAAAACAAAACAAGTTTTGCCATATTTGACTTTATTCTCTCCCCCCAAAAAAAGTAATAAGAACTAAGGAGTAATAAAACCCAAAATGTGTAAATTTTGTTGTAAAAAAGAGAGGGAAAAAAAGAGCTCTAAAGGATACAACAGCAAGTGTGTTTAGGGGTGTTAAATAGCTGACCATATTGTTTTTGGTTGGATCACTGAACACAACTGTTTGCAGTCTCACCGTCTGAATGTCCACTTTGTATGCTTTGATCCTGTGACTTGAGCAACTATTTCTAAGATGATAATATGTAATCTATTAACTGCTGATTTCTTACTGTCTTTTTTTTTTTTGTAGTTCTGTATTACGTGTACCCTTACATCGCTTTGTTTTGTTCTGTGTTTTTCTCTTTTTCCTTTTAAGTAAAATTTAAAAAAAAAACAAAAACAAACAAAGACCAAGGCCTGAGAACACAGCTCAGTGCAAAGTCCCAAAAATTTGGGCTTAATCCCCAAATTCTAGGGGACAGGAGAAAGACAAAAAGAAATCTTTGAGAGTGAAGTGAGAAGGGTAAGAGAATTAGTAAACTTTTTCATGCACTTCTTTTGAGAGAAGCAACAAGAAACTTGGGGAAATAGCTCAGAGCAGTTGTCTCCAGACTTTAGTGTGTAAAGAATCACCTAGTAAGTTTATTAAAGAAGCAGATTCCAGGCCGGGCATGGTGACACATACCTGTAATCCCAGCGCTTGGGAGGCGGAGGCAGGAGGATTGCTGTGTTTGAGGCCAGCCTGGGCTACAAACCCTGTCTCAAAAAGACAAAAAGAAACAAAACAAAACAAAGTAGATTTCCTGCTCTGCTCCCCATATCCTCAATTCAGTGATAGGGCCTGGGCACCTGTATTTTTAGCAAACAGGCTGGATGTTTCTGAAGTTGGTGGCCATACACTGAGAAATTCTGACCTAGCAATAAATCCAAGGGATGCCAAGTGAAAGTCCAGACATGTGTTAGCTTTCTGTCACTGTCACAAAATACAGTGGTATCTCAGTTCACAAATGTTTTTATTTGCGAATAAATGGTTAATAAACAAAAGTGTTTGGCAAAATTTTGTTTTCATTTGTGAACTCAGCACTGGGGGACAAACATGACCACAGCTCTTTCCCATACAAACACAAATATGGCCGTCTTTTCCAAAACTGTGGAACAAATAAAGTTAGTGAACTGAGGTACCACTGTACCTGAGGTGCTCGCTTCAGCAGCACATATACTAAAACTGGAACCACTGTACCCGAGATAAACAATTTTAAAGGAGGAAAAAGTTACTTTAGCTCACAGTTTCAGAGGTTTCAGTCTCTTGCCGCCCCCTTGATGTGGGCCTATGTGGATGCTGAACTTTGTGGCAGGAAGTGTGTGACGGATCCAAGCTGCATCGTGACATCAGGAAGTGAAAAAGAGCAAGAGGAAGGGGCAGGCCTCAATGATCCCTTTCAAGTGATTCCCTCCAATGACGAGGCTTTTTCCAGTTAGGCCCCACCTCCTCAAGTTTCCACTTCCTCCCAAAAGGGCCATTAGCCGGCCCTTTAAAATATGAGTTTTGGGGGGGATATTTAAGATCCAAAGCATACCAAAGTGGCTACAAAGAAAACAGATTTGACCTATAGCTTCAGATTCAGGCAGCAAAGGATTTTTTCTGGGGAAAGGGAAAGAAGTTGAACTTGATGTGATAGTCTATACATTTAATCTTTGCAAAAACCATGTGAGATGAGCATTGTTGTATCATTTCTAACAAGAAACAAATGAGACTTAGAAAACCGAAAAGTAACTTGTCACAGATTCTAACTGACTGCGTAGAGCTGGAATTCAGCCTCAAACCCTTGCTTTGTCCATCACAAAGGGCTGCCCCATGAAGCATAGTCCTCAGCTAAGTGAAAGCACGCTCAGGCTTTGAGCTAAAGGGTGAAAGGAGTGTGAACATGATAAGTGAATAATGTCCACATGTAACAGTAAGTTAGTACATCTTCGATGGTTTTTTTTCTTATTCCTCCCTCCTCCCCCTTCCCCTGGCTCCTCTTTTGTGCCTGCTCCCTCCTTCCTCTCTCGTCTCTGATTTTTTTCCTGAAGTGAATTTGTTAAAGAAGGGACCAGGTTCCTTTTTTTTTTGTTTTTGATCCCGTAGAGTTTCCCCAAGTCTGGAAATTGCTGACACACTACAATTTTAAAAAGTGAGCTCACTGCAAAATCAACTCTGCAAATACTCTTCAAATTTACTAAATGGCCTTTTTCTCAGTAATTATGTCATCTGTCTTTACTTTTCTTTCCTCTTGCTTTCTGAATTCATTTATCCCGATCACCTCTGAATCATTAACAAAAACTTCTACAAAACTACCATCTGCTTTCCCATGGGGTTTATATCTTAAAACAAATTTTCCTCAATTGAATTCAAATTGAATAAAAGCATTGAAACCAAGGATCCCTCATTAGACAGTTTGTTATTTCAAAGCATTTTCTGTTTACTGTGCCTTATTCAGAATACAGTATAATCCTGTGAAGGCAAGTCTGTTTGTTCAAAATAGGGTATAATTGAAAATAGTTGCAGCTCCTAATCTGACTTCAAGTCTCTAGATTTCTTATTAGAGAAATTTAATTTATTAGAATCATTGTGCCCATCAGAATCTATTAATATAATATTTCTTTATGTTGTAAATTAATGGGGTTGAATTACATTATAGCTAAGAAATAATCATAATTTCAAATGGAAGTCCTACAAATTTTTCAATAGAAGCTTGCATTGATTTCCTTCGTTTGTAAAAATTTGTTTTTGTGGGCTGGGGATTTAGCTCAGCGGCATAAGTGCCTGCCTTGCAAGCAGGCAGTCGTGAGTTCGATCCCTGGTACCGATAAAAAGGAAAAAGACAAAAAAAAAAAAAAAATTTGTTTTTGTAACATCAATATAACATGAATGTATTTTTAAAAGACAGGACTCAGGTTTATAAAGGAACTCAGCAATCCCTTTCTCTTCCCACCTCACCCCTAATTCTTTAACATTCAGTGCTTGACAATCAACTTTCTAAAAGGTTGACATCTGTCATCCATTGCCACAGTCTTCTTTGGTTTTTTTTTTTTACCTCTGGGAAAATTATATCTTTTAAACTCTTTTTGGGTAATTTTCGTAATGTTTGAGATGAGGTGGGAATAACTGTGTGTGTGTTCAGTTAGCCAAACTTTGCTGATACTCTCATATTCTCTTTTTCCATGTTTTTATTGATATGTAATAATTATACATATGCAGGAGATACAGTGTGATTTTGTGGGAGGTATTGGGAGTTTAACTCAGGACTTCACATTGAGTTACATCTCCAGCCCATTTCCTCTTAATTTTGAGACAGGGTCTCCTAGGTTGCTAAGTTGCTTGGGCTGGGTTTGAATATATGATTCTCCTGCCTCAGCTTCCCAAAGTTCTGGGATTAATAAGTGGCTCAATGTGATGTTTTAATTTATGTTTACATTGGGTAATAATCAAGTGGAGATAGCTAGAGTAGAATAAAGGTTACAAGATCCTTAGGAGAGTAGGAAGAGAAGGGACAGAGCAGTTAGTCAATAGTACAAGGTCAGTCAGATGTGGTGGTGCATGCTTGTAATTCTAGCACTCTGGAAGGCTGAGACAGGATGATTGCAAGTTCAAGCCTAGCCATGGAAATTTAGCAAGACCCTTAATTTTGTTTTTGTTCTGCTCTGATGTCTTTTAAAAAAAAATCTGTTTTCAAAATCAATTTCACGTAGGAATATGAAGCTAATGGTCCATAGAGATTGTGCCTATCTGGGTAATTGCTATTATGGCACTGTACTAGTTAGTGGTAAGCAACAAGGATTCCTTATTCTGCAATCTTGCTAATGATGTTTCTTTTTTTCCATAGTTGACAGGCCTGTCAGAGTGTATGCAGATGGAATATTCGACCTCTTCCATTCAGGTCATGCAAGGGCACTTATGCAAGCAAAAACACTGTTTCCCAACAGCTACTTATTGGTAGGAGGTAAGAAGCTCATTTTCTCTTTATCCAGAAAACTCCTTTATAATATACTTGTTTCAAAGGGCCCATTTCAGAGTTCCCAAGGTAATATCTTACATTGTTAATGTTTCCAACTCAGCCCATATTGACTTACTTGTTCACTGCATGACATTTAAAATGCCATTTAAAAAATCATAAGAGAAATGACATCATGAGATTGTACACCACTGATCCTCAGAGAGAGACTGGCTAATACCACTGACAAAGGTACTGCTTCAGACTTTTCATCAATACCTTTCTCCAGGTATTTGAGACATGATGTAATTTATGTTTCTAAAATTTTCTAGAAGGCCAAGAGAAAAGCTGTATTGTTCTGACTCCAAGCCTTGGAGAACTGAAGAGGTTTAGGATGACAAGGCCATTGTCGTTATAGTTTGGATCTTAAATGTCCCCCCACCATGTATACTCATTGGTGGATTGGTCCACTGATGGGTTTATAGCTAACATGCTGTTGGGCATGGTTGCAGGAGGCTGGTCACTGGTGCCGTGACCTGGAAGGATGTAGCTCTTTCCCTGCCTCCACCTTTCTCGGCTTCCTGACCACCATGTCATGTGCAGCATTTTGTTTGTCATGCCATTTCTTCCCTTGAACTAGCCAATCATGGACTGATACCATGAGCTAAAATAAGTCCCTCCTCCTTAAGTTGCAGGTGTTGGCTATTTTGTCTTAGGGAAGAGAAAGTGACTAAGACTATGTGTTTCCCTTGTGTGATCCATAGCACTTACGACAGTATTGTGCTAATGGTAGTGGTTTAAGACAACCCTACTTTATTGAATTTATATGCAGTGTGTTGAAGAAATGGAGATTTATATAGGTAGGTAATCTCGTTTCACAATGAAGGGACCAACTTACTTCCTACACTTACTGGAAAGAGAAGGATATGGATTGAAATTTTCTTCCCCCAGGTCCACCCATGTCACTATGGGTAAAAAGTAAGGCACCTGACTAGGAGAACTGCATCTTCTGTAGCAGTGTATCTATTCACCATAATCAGGTATTTTTTTTTAAGACAAAGTCTTGCTATGTGGTTCAGGCTGGTCTTGAACTCACTATGTAGCCCCGGCTGGCCTCGAAATCATGACAGTCTTCTTGCCTCAGCCTGCCAAGTGCTAGGATTATAGCTGTATAACACCATACACAGTATTCACCATGACCAGTTTTTATGGCATGGTAAGAACTAGACCTCATCAACCCTTAGACCTTTATTAAGAAGAAAAATAACTTCTGGTAAGAGATGGTATATCTGGTTTTTTAAAAAGTATTTTATTATCTTCTGCAAATTTAAAACTGCTTTGTGGATATTGAGAAGAAACTCTTCTGCAGATTTTGCTGAGGATGATGACCATAGGGACTTCCTGAATGGAATTCTTTCTTTGAATGGTGAAAGGCAGTGGTTACCAGGCAAGTCCTGCCAAGGGAACCCAAAGCAAGCAGAGAAACCAACCCAATCATTTCCCTTTGCCTCAATGGAAAACCATTTTTCATGTGAGACCACCACCTACAGTCTGGGGAGTCCACTGCAATGTCTGGTTTTAAGGCATTTTGGCGAGGTGGTTTGGTGTGTGTCAGTTAAGGTTTTCTCTAAACGTATCTGTGGAGTTTTAAATCCCCACAATTGTCCACACTGAGCCACAGTTAGTCGGTTTAAGTTTTCCTGCCTGGCACTGGCTCCTCCAGCTTTCTGCTTGCAAATTTTTGCACCAGGAAATTGTGATTCTCTTCATCTGTCTATCTCTCTAATTTGGGTGGCATCAGCCTGCCCTGTGACCTCATTTCTCTGACTCTGAAGAGTTGTTGATTTTTCAGTTTGTTCTCTTTTTTACTTCTTGTTGTAGTGGAATGGTGATGTCTAAGCTCATTACTTGGCAGGCCAGAAACCAGAAGCCCAATACTGACATTTGAAAACAAAATAGTTGCTTAATTACTTAAATGTACCCAGTGGCATCTAAAAACTGTAACACTTTGAAATGTAGCATCATACATTTACAAAATATATAATTTCTCCCTCTCTCTCTCTCTCTCTGTCTCTTTCCGTACTGAGAATTTATTGTGAACTACCCCAGCCTTTATTTATTTATTTATTGAGACAGAGTCTTGCCAAGTAACTAAGTTATCCACTTATTGCTTGAATCTGCAGCTCCCTGCCTTAGTCCCACCAAACATTGAGATTACAGGCATGTGGTACCTTGCCTGGCTAACTAAGTCTTTTTACATTTTCAAATATCTTATAAATTTCCCCTTTTCATCTGCTGCTTGTATTTTCTTGTTTTTATTTTTTATTTTTATTGGTACTGGGGATCGAACTCACAACCTTGCGCTTACAAGGCAGGTGGTTATGCTGCTGAGCTAAATCCCTGGCCCCTGAATTTTCATTCTTTTCCTCACCTATAAATTTTTCTACTGTGATGCATTAGTGTTTACGAATGTTTTAGTTACCAGTCTATCATACTCCTCTGAATAAAAATATATAAATTGATGCAGACTAACCAATTATTATATACAGTTTAATAAACAATGATTTTAAAAAACATAAATTTGATCAGCAGTATATCTGTTAATGATATGCATAGGATCTCCTTATTTTATGTGAGTGTAGATGAATTTATTTGCTAGAGTGAAGCAGGGCTTAACATTAATTTTAGTATTATCTTTATGTTATAGATATAAATGCTGAAATATTTTGTTCACATAAATGAATAGATGGAAATACAAGTTTGTCACAATGCTGCCTCATTTCTTTGACTTTTTTCTGAATTATTTGCCCAAAATCACAAAAATAATTTATTGGTACTCCTGCCATCAAAGTTTAATATTAATGGTTTATCCAGTAACAATTTGTTAAGATTCTCCTTTGAATTTACTGCAATAGATAGAAAGTGACCTGGCCTACAAAAGGATATGTTGCCAAGCTACTAGAATCATTTGCTTTCTTATTTTCTGGGAATTGTAACAAAAGACTGTATCAAGACTTATGAAATGACTTTTAATTACATCCTTTACTCATTTAGTTGAAAATAATTTATTCAACCATATAATACACAGAAAAGATTGGGGGAATAGAAATATTGGCAATTTCATTACATTGTTGACAATCTAATAGTTTTTATAAAACCAATTTTATCATTTGCTTATTTAAAAAACTGACACTGCAGTTTTAGCTTACAGAGCATATGTTCTAATTTGTAAAACCATTCCTCATCATCAAATCTACTAAAAACCTAGAAACCAAAAAATTTAATTTAACTGTATTAATATATTTTAACCAGCTCTATAAAAACCACTAACAAATAAATTAAAGAATGGATTATATAAAACATAATCAGTCAAGATTAAAATAATGTGAATGTAGTATAATAGGTTATAAAGAAAACAATAAATCATTGTACTTGATTTATAGTAATGCAATATCATTTATAGGTAAAATTATATGGTATTTGTGAAGAGATAAATGATTTTTAATGGCATGTTATTCTTTCTCTAAATATTGGTGTGTGGGGTTATGTGTGTTGCATAGTCTAGTGTTTGGCTCTGGGGAATAATTATATAACATTAAGTATAAAAATCAGAAATAACAATTGTCTTTATTAGACATCATGATTAAAGTTTTCCTGTGTATTTAAAGATAGAAAGGGGCATATACTGCTAGAAAGTAATTGCTCTGAAATAGGTAATTTTATTTTTGTTATGAGGAAGTATAACATCAACATTTTAGAAGATGAAATGGGATAAGGATTATCTATGAATGGAGTATTTTATAATGTAAGTTTATAAAATAGGTTTTTAACTTTCTTTTTAAATAATGCATAGGAAATCCGAAAAAAATCATGTAAATGTTTTACCCATGCATTTATTCCAGTATCTTAAAAAATTTGATAAGTCCAGTAAAATATTCCAGTTACATTTCTGAGAAGCAGCAGTACAAGCCTATACAGCTTTGGGTTATTAAAGTGATTTTGAAGTGAATAGCTGGAAAAAATGCTTACTCTTAACTACAAGAGAAAAGCCATTTTTAGGATTCAATATGAGTGTTGAGAATAGCTGAAAAAATGCTTACCCTTAACTACATGAAAAAGCCATTTTTAGCATTCAATATTTCTTTCCAATGCTCTTTCACTTTGAGTTCCTGGGCCGTATCCCTCAAGATCCATGTGTTCTCTGGTAATAGTTGCAAGAAGAAGAGGCAAAGTTGTTAGGCTAGAGTTTGTATTATTCTTCATTCTACCATATTTAGTTTCTAACACCAGACTTTACGTGTAACAGAAATACATGTATGCCATGGAAAGACAGGAAGTTTTCTAAGTTCATAGTATTTTCAGTAGTCATTACATGAGGTTTCCATTTTGGTTTGGCATTACTACCCCTGTAAATGCAACATACCCAAGGTTCGGATGGTGCCTTTCTTTTGTAAAGTGGGATAAGGGTGGTTTTGGATATAGAGACTTTTTCAAGTTCATGTATTTTAGAAAAGAGTACTATTGGAAGGTAGGTCTGGAACACTGATTCCTTTAAAACTTTCTATTCTTGGATACCTCCTAAAAAGTCTTTGCATGCCTCAGGGAGTGTGTGTACTCTAGTTTGAGAAGACCTTTGTCTTAGGTTTTCTTTACAGATTATCACAAAAAAAAATGGCAGAGAACTCAATACCAAGGAAGGGAGTCTTTAAAGAATAGGTGTTCTGTGTTGTTGGTTGGAAGACTGGGTCTTGACATTCCGTGTGCAGTTATCAAATAGAATGCTTATGGTAAGTGGGACCCTATGACTCGTAGTCCTCCTTATATCTACAGGTAGCTTTGGTGTAGGAATTCCTCTGGGAGGAGCACACCTTTTGCTCATGATGCAAGTACATGGACAGGTATTTGGTGGAAATACTTGATATTTAGCAGAAACATTTTATTAAAATTCCATAAACTGTTGGGCACTGTGGTGCACACCTGTAATTCTAGCTATAGTGGAGGTGGAGGCA